GTAATCATAAGGCATCAATAACGGATGCTCGGGAAAATTCTTTCGATTTCGAAAAATAACAATTGCGATTTTCAATTATTAATTGTATGATTACCATGATTACCGGAAGATTTTAATTTTACTAGCCACATCAGCCACTTTTTATTTTATTTGTATTTTGTATCTAAATTATTACTGGAACATTAAGTTAAATATAAGAATACATTACAATACGAGAAACAAATTTTATTACAAAGGTTATTTTTGAAAACAGGCCTTTGTTTTTTATAAAAATAGGAAATCTTGTTTTATTAATTTTTGAAAAATCATTGCGGCGCCATTTTGCTATTTAACATATTTAACAATACAATACATATGCGCAGAAGATTAGTTGATTTCATGTTCCTTTATCAAAAAATAACAATTCACATAATACTTAGTTCTTTGTTCTTTGGTAAGTATTATTTTTATGATGTAATTAATTATGAATTTGAATTGTTAAAACACAATTTGGAATTTTTCAATATATATTTAAATACAATACGAATTTTGTTATATAAAGAGATGAAAGTCGGCTTCAACCTCAATAACCTCCCTCAATAACTTCATTTTATCAAATATGAAAGCTACTGGCAAATATTAAACTTTCTGAACCCCTTCCGATCAATAAATAATTAAACCTTCTACGATTAAGTCTCGTAAAACGAGAAGTTCTACTAGAAATTCCGAAAAAAAATTAACAATCCAAAAAAAAGACCCAAATCCATTGTAGTCTTTCTTCAACAAACACATTCGCTCATTTCGTTTTATTTTATAATGAATACGTATAACTTACTGAAAGTTCTTATGGATGTTGTAGAACGGCAACGTTTACACTTCCTATTGATTCAATTAATTTTTCATCTAATAGTTTAGATGATGAAACAACCTTTTTCCTTCAACACAAGTTAAATCTTCAGGCCAGTCAACCTTTTTCCTATCCCAATAAAACTTCCTGCGGCGCATAATCTAGTGTAATTCATATAGTTCCTATCCGAAAACACAAACTTTGCATCATTCGTTTGAGCCAATTATTTGAACCTGGCAATGTCTTTTTCAGCCGTTGCAAGATTTAGTGGGACGATTGTAAAAGTAATAATACATTCAAATAGTATAGAAAGTAATTTGAGACCTGGGGAATAACAAAGTAAGATCGTGTCATCAATTTTATGTCCTGCCTCATTCCTTAACAGTGAGGGGCTAATGATCTTCGCCTCTCGAATGTTAACATCTATCCGGTGAAGGCGATTTTATTAGGGAAACGTTTGGCGGAAACCGTAACACCACCATCCCCAATTAAGTGTGAAGGTAGATTTGATCTCGAATCGGTTAAACGATTGTTCTGGATTGTTGGAAAGGTTGAAGAAATCGCTTGACCAAGTCACGAGAGTAGGAGAGACGATTTTCGGTTAGCTCAAAGTCCAACCACAAAGCAATATCGATTGATCGTTCTCTCAAATAACAAAACCTTGACCCCATCCTTGTCACAATTCAAGATCCCTCCAAGATTTCAACCAAACGCTTGCCTTCGACAACATAATCATTGCCACAAACCCAACAGTTCCTTTCCCTATCTTCTTTAAAAAGGACCTTTTTTCAAAAGTCATCACTTTTGACTTTCATACTATATCGAATCTACCTACAAAAAGTAGGAATAACAGCAATTCCGTAATATTGTTCGGATAAAAGTATGTTGGTCACATCACTGCGTCTTATGACGGTGTTAAGAAATCGATCCATAATGGTTAAATATGGTCAAACAAGATAAAATATTGATGGGTGGTGAATTAGATGAAATACTTTATAATCAACGGTGGGTTTCTTTCCTCATGGTAAATGATAGTTTTTATTTATTCTCATTTTTTTTCCAAAAAAATTTTCCTAAATTTCCTTTTTTTTCGGTTAATAGTTTCCTCGTAGAAATGGCAAGATTCTTTTATAGCAAGGTTGAAACATTCAAAGACAGTATGAAATTTCTATGTTGGTGACTTTGAGACCGAAATTGTGTCTCTTGTCTCACGTGACTTTGTCAAGCAATTCTCAACAATCCCATTTGCCGATTCGATCTCACATAGAGACAACGCTTAATTTGGCCGCCAAACGCTTCTCAAATAACATCGCTTTCACTGGGTAAATGCAAATTTCGCGAGAGGCGAAGATCACTAGCCTCACTATAAAGAAGGCAGAAATTGGATGTATTATTGCTGTTCCAGTCGATCTACCAAACCTTATAACGGCTGAAAAAAGACATTGCCAGATTTATGGCTCAAACGACTTGTGTAAAATTAGTGTTGTCGGCTAGAAGTTAAATGAATTAAACTAGATTATACGCCGCAAGAAGTTTCATTAAGATAGGAAAAAAGGTTGATTGGCCTGAAGATTTAACTTGGGTTAAAGGAGAAAGCAGGGTTTATGGATTATGCAGCATAAAAAAAGTGACGTTTCAAAAGAAAATTCCGTTTGCATACTCGGACATTCTTGACCAAAAGTCTTGGAATCCGTTTTTAAAATACGAGATCGTATTTTCCGAATTTTCGAATTAATCCCGTCTCATGTTCAAATACTTCAGATTTAGAGACGTAAAGTTTTTGTCAAAATATTTTCAATACGATTGTCTACAAGAGAGGTTTCGCTTTTATTTTTATCACATCTCCTTTATTTTATCACATATATATTTTTTCATCTCTTTTATTTTATCAATATATATTTTTCTTTTTGATAATGAATAATTGTTTTAATTCTTTTCTTTATAATATTAAATTCAATGTATAATACAAAATTTTTTTTTGAATAAATATAAATTTGCATTAATTTGAATATTCAATTTTGGAATATTTCATTAAATTGTTCTGCTTGAAGTTAATAAAAATAATAAGAAATTTTAAAAAATCGAATCTACCTTTAGGATATTTAACTACTAAATGGTAATAT